CTACATTATTGATGTTCCGATGAACTTATATCTCATCAGTTTTTGCATTGTTAAGTATATTTTCATCGAAAAATAGTGTGTTTTTTTTAGTCGAAATAGTTTTATAGTGACTAAGTGCAAAATCAGCAAGGGGCGAAGTGTCCATGAAAGTGGAACTCTTCATTGTTGATCTTCCGATGAACTTATATTTCATCAACTTTTGCACATTTTATTTCAAACTATAGAATTCTCAAAAGTCTATTACAGTAGTTTATTCAATCGAATATCGAGTCAGTCAATATATTCGTATTTTGTCACTTTTAATTACACCTCGTTTCTACTAACTCAAAACAGCTAATACTTCAGTAATTAAGTATTGTAATTATTTCTAAAAAAATATAAAAATAATAAATTTATAGATTATGTTAATTGCTATTCTATTCAACAAATACAAAATCAGCAAGGGGCGAAATAAGTCCATTAAAGTGGAACTCTTCATTTTTATTGTTCCGATGAACTTATATATCATCATTTTTTGTTTTGTTGATTATTTTTATTTTTATATTATAAATAAGTGCAAAATCAGTAAGGGGCGAAAAGTGTCCAATTAAAGTGGAACTCTTCATTTTTTTTAAAATTTTTCCGATGAACTTATATTTCATCAACTTTTGCATCTTATTATTTTTTTCTCGATTTTATATTTACCTATGAGGAATATCAAGTCCACCATCAACAGCACCCTTCAATGCACCAAAAACTTTGGCACCTGTTGTTGTACGTGCTAGACCAACATCAAGGTAACATCGAAATGGACGTTTTTGACCTTCAACTGCTTCATTTTCGAATTCACCACCTGTTATGTCAGTTGTTCCTTTGTATACATTATCAAGTTTATGTTTTTGTAATGTACGTCGAGCCAAAAGTAAACCGGTACAATAAGCAGCAGCATAGTTTGTTAAACCAAGTTTAATACCATATCGTGGTAATTCATGAGCGTATGCTGATGCTACAACATAATCACCTTCGATACGTGCATAAGCAATCTAAATAAATAACTTTAAACTATGGGGAAAAAAAAAACAATTTTTTTTTTTTCATACTTGACAAATAATATCTTTGTTGGTCAATCGAACAATAAGTCGATATTTGGGTGTATTATATTTATTTTTATCTTGATGGATAAGTGCGTGACGTGCGTAAAAATCAGTTTTACCCTCTACAATTTTAATAAGATTAAATAAAAAACAAACAACAACAACAATAAATACTTACGTCGACGTCGTTTGGATTTTACTTGATATCTTTTAAAATAAGCTTTGTTTTTAACGACTTTGACAAAAGCCTAAGAAGAAATACAAGTGTTCAAAAAGATGAAAAAATTAAGAAAAAATTTTCACCATTATAAATTTAGATGGACGATCGCTGGTAAATTTGATAAGCAAAAGAAACAAACAAACAATCGGTGGAAGACTACCCCCGTTTGGCGACCTCCACGAAAAAGTTATTTAACATGACTAAAACAACCAATCATAAGTGTTTAAACGACTAATGCATTTTCGAAAGAGAAGGATAGTTAACAAAGTTAGATTGGTGCTTTTCATTGAAATATTAATTGTCAATATATCTACGCGATGATCTCAGGTAGAAATTGTAAAAAAAAAGGCTTTTAATTTAATTTAAAATACAAGAGAATAATTTTTTTCATCGCAATTAGATATTGAAAGAATCAATCATTTAGAATGGCGTTTAAAACGTTTAGAAAATTTTATTGGAAAATCAGATAAAAAGAATGTATGGTGATAATATTCATCATTAGTTTTTTTTATGATATTAAAAATTTAATTTAAAATTTAGATTATCGAAATAATTAATGATCTCAATGAAAAAATTTTTCAACACGCAAGCAACATGAGTAATGCGAACATATTATTAAAAAAAGGTATATTTATTAAGAAAGTTTTAACTCTGTTCAAGACCATCTCGAGTCCGTACGCATCCTAGCCAGTTTCATCATATTATTATACGTATACGATATTAGATGAAATCGCTTATATTCTAGATGTATTCTACTGAAGACTAGTAGAATACGATAATAATATCTATCAGTTACGCTCAAATATAATTTAATATGAATAGATCATTCAGAAGTACATGTAAACGCTTGTTAATTACCTAGAGTTCGCTCCCAAATCCCATTAACATCCATAAGACGTATTTAAACTGTGTCTATGAGTCGCTGGAACCGAGTTGCGAGATACTAATAAACACATCTCTCGGAATATCTCTGTATATAAAAATGTAAGGCCACAAGTGCACTACACAATTTAAAAGTAAATACAGAAATGTGTTTGGTATTTTCAGGCAGCAACATTCATCACAGTTTATTCACTAACTAATCAAAAAAAAGGAGCATTTATTAAGATATAAACACAAGATTGTTGATTTCTTTTTTGTTTTCAATCTTTGATCACTACTTTTTAACCATTAAATTTAATTTTCATTTTTATCTACAGTTGATATGATCAATCGTTTGACAAGTTCGGATTTTCAACGTTATCTAATGAGAGATCGATCAACAAAACTTGAACTTATTCTCGCTGGTAAAAAAAATAATTTCTAATGAAAATATTTAATTTTTATTAAGTATTTATTAGATGAAGAGCGTATTTGTGAGGTAACAAAAAGTCTCTCCGAAATTGATACATTAGCACGTGCACTCGATAGTGAATATTTTCAAGGTATATCGAACGCTTTGAAGCTATCTTTATTATTACTATAAATTAATTTTGATTAGAACTACCAAAATTATTCAATACATTGGATAAATTATTAATTACTCATAATAATATTAAGGTTTGTAAGATAAACTTGAAAACATTTAGTTTTCTTTTTACGCTATTCTCAATTCTTTATAGAATCAATATGGTGAATTTACTGAAGAGTTAAGCACCTTTTTACAAGATTATGCTGCATTTGTAAGAAATAACTTTTTTTTCTAGTTGATTATTAAGTTTTTACTTAAATAGACTTTAATGATGGATGAAAATCTTCAACAATATAAAACAGTTTTACATAAAAATCAGCATGGATCATCGACTGTCGAAGATAATCCAATTGAATAAACGTGATGTTTTTTTAATTTTATCTGGTGCATTTTAATGAAGTTTCATATATATATACATTGGTGTATATGTTATTCAAATTTTCTTTTTTAAATTGTTAAAAATTATTTTCCATTTATTTGTTTCTTTTTTCTAACATTATTTCAAAATGGTTTATTATGATCGCTGATAAGATATAGTATTAAAAAAATTGGTGTTGTATTAATATTCCTTCAAATAGATGAAAATCTGATTCTCATTGTTGAATTGTATTATTGCCAAATCCAATAAAACGTATGAGTAACTCGTGAAGAATGAATCTTATTCTTCGAAAAGAAAAGAGAATAGCTTGCCTAAAAAGATGAGTATATATTAATCAGACATCTATACAATCAACGATAAGCTTCAATCAAAATGATAGTAATTAACAAAACTAAATTCAGTTTCCAACTAATTTTCCTTGGAAAAGTGAAAGAAAAAGAGATATTATATTTCTATTCTTAGCTCATAATAAAAACATTTTAGTGAATGGGTATAACCACTTGCATTCTTCTTATCTATGATAAAAACTACACTTGAGAATTCAAACAATTTATATTGTAATGAGTTTTCTATTTTTTATGAATCAAACTATATTTCGAAGATTTTTTTTTCCAGATAATTTTAAAATACTCAAAGCAATATTTACTCATTGACCACGATTATCATATTGACTCGTTTGATTTTAAGAATATAATTACGTGTACATCAACTTCTATGTCATTGTTAATGATCATATTGTTTCAAAAATTGTTCGATTATGATAAATATTTTATTCAAAAAAATAAAATCAAGATTATGTTATTTAACTTCAATTTTCATTAAACAATGTACAAACATCTGAACAAACTTCTATTTAAAGTAAGATGGAAACCAATGTTTTTCAATTTTTTAGATAGGTTATAAATATAGTTTTTGTTAAATTAATAGAAGTAGGAAGGGATATAATGTGAATCTTATTTAATGCGTAGACGTATTTTGATAAACGAATGAAATCGGAATATGAAATTTTTGACTATTTATCGAATGAAAGTTGTACTATACTATCCCGGATATTTTAAATCAAATGTAGAAAATAGTGATATGTATTTTGTAGTATGTAGAAAGTTTTAGCAATATATTTAACACGTCAATAAAGACGACTGGTTAACATCAACACATCGAATTAATTTATTGTAAGAACAATAAAAATGAGTAGAACTGATGTCCGCACAAGAATAAATGAGAAGTAAGTGTAATCTTAATAACTTGACAACAAAAACAGCTAGCAAGCTGTCGTTTTGAGTAACCCAGCAGAGGAGAATTCTAGACGTTTTTTGATCTGATACTATATAAGACAAAATTGTATTAACACCCATCATCTTCTTAAAACATTTAACAAAAATACATAAAAGCGATGTTTTGTTTCAAGGAATTTTTGATCAAAACGTCAAAATATTTGTTTAAGAACTGACAGAATTCTATTCAATTTAACCGCATAACTATAAAATTAAATCGAAACGAAACACAATTTGCATGCATTTTTTTTTTGAAAAATTTTTCAAAATAATAGGCGTTAAAATTACATTGTATTATATTGTATCAGATAAAAAGACGTCTGAAGTTCTGCTCTTTGTATTGTTGAAAACTGAAGGGCAGACATTTACGTAAGGTTCATTTTTTCAAAATTTTTTTTTAATTTACATCCATGTTTTTAGGAGATAACAGTGAGATACATAAACAGTGCAAACGATTCTATTTGTACTGAATCGTTAACTAATTGAACAGACTTTCCTCTCTCAATATATGAAACATGTTAGACTAAATTAAGGTTTGTTGTTCTTATTTATATATAGAAAATTTTATCAATCTATTATTGGTATGATGATGATCATCATCATCTAGATATGATTAGTGATAAATAAATTTTGTTTTATATTTATGTTAACAGTCATTTATTAAATAGAACACACGTAAATATATTATTTAATACAAAGTCTGTTTATTATCAAGTAGATAAAGTAAATATTATTTATTTTGTAGAGAACAAATACGTAATATATTAATGAAATGAATCATTATTATGATCTATTTTTATAATATTGTCCATTGTTTACAGAACAGATATCTGTTATTGGATATAGTCTTGATAAATAAGATATTATATTATTGAAATTTTAGATTTACTTGTACTCTATCATATAATCAGTAGCTAAATATTCTACAGCAAAAATAGTATATCTTGATTTATCAATGTATTATAAGTAATAAAGACTTACACTCATACATATTTTCTTGTATTGCGTTTATTTGAGAATAGAAATCGACCTCTATCAAAATAGATTCTTTCTCGAAAGTTCTCCTATTGTTTTATACTTAACTATACATGAAATATTACCATCAGATTTACTCAGTCAATAAGTAAAGGTTTACTAAATGCATGTTTTATCTCGTATCTATTTAAGATGGTTTTATTTTGCATTTAGAAATACACTGACATCTATTATGAATTTTACCATGTTTTTCAAGTTAGTATTGAAAGTCAAAAAAATATGATTGGAATCCTATTTTTCACCTAACGAATAAGCAACAAAACATGAATATACTAATAATGAGAATGAAAATAATTATTTTGATTAAGACACATTCTAAATCAACATAATATCCAATGTCAGGTTATGCCCTTAATTCATTCTTCTGAAACTACACAATGGAAAATTTATAGTCTTAATACAAGTAGCTTCCATTTTCCTTTGAAGTGTTACTATTCTTCATAATGTTTTGATCGCAAGGACCAATTCGTCCTCGATTGATTCACATGTACTGAAGTCATGATTCAGTCGCCGTCTTTACCTTGTGAAAAAACATGTTCAGTGTAAGCATGGCCTTAAAAATTTTTTGTTTGTTACTTTATTTTTCTTCAAGCTACTATGTGGTTTTTTTTCTAGTGCATAAAGGCGGCTGCTCATGTCTAGTTTATTATTACAAAAGTCTGCGATAAATAAACGAAATCCTAATGATTAGCACATGCTGACATAATGAACCCATATTGTAGCATTGACTATTTAGAATACTGTTGAAATAGATTTTTCGCCTTGTGGGAACTTCCAATTAGATTGATCAAACTCATCAAGGAAAATGTCTGTCTTACTGAAAACAGGATTTATTCCTCAACAGACATTCTTAATAAGAAGCGAATATCTCAGTCATAACTATGGCACTGGTTTTTCGAATGAAGATTTAGATGAAAACATTTGTGGCAAGATGATTGAAATAAGGTG